GTGCACATATGTGTGCACGTTTAATAGATGTAAATAATCTAACAATGCCTTTGGTTTTAACATTGGCAAGAGAAATAATCTAATCCAGGATTGTGTTTCTTTGGGCTGTGTGAGTCCCTCCGTTTGTGTTTATTCATCTTTTGGTTTAGGCAATAAAATGAGAGTTACATTCACTTCACATGATTACAACAGTGTTAGTAGTTGATTTTAGCTTTTCTCCTTTCCCCCAGTGTTTGGAACAAGTTGCTCAGAGCTGTTTTATTGAAATATAGCTATCCTGTTCATTCAGAAAATAGTTAGAAGAGTTTAAAAAAGTGTCTCTTTAAAACAGAAAAATTACTTGGATTTTTTTTTTCCCCAGTTAAGTATCATCATGTTGGTAAGCTGCTGAAGGAGGGGGAGGAACCCACTGTGTACTCTGATGAAGACGAAAAAGATGCCCAGGATGCAAAGAAAGAGTAGATACTGCAGTGAGGAACAATCTGTTTTTGAAACATAAAGGATCATTTGTAACATTCCACTTCTGTTTCACAAGGTGCAGCAGCAGCCAGGCTTACAAAAGGTCCAGAGGTACAGTGAATGGTTTCTTTTCAAATATTTCCTTTTCAAATTCAGTGGGAAGCTTCTGAAGGTCTATTATGTCTTCCTTTAAACCCACATAATAAGCAGTATGCATGACAAATGTCTGTGCAAAAGTAAACTGCAATTTTGGCAATAAAGGACTGTTTTTCTGCTATCACCATTTAGTGCAAAGTAGGTAAAAATCAAGTTTTTCATTACTGATCTATCACTGTGGAGACAAGCACATGACTCACTTCACATATGCAACACAAACACCACTAAATCTTCTTTTGTGTTAGCTTCTGCAGGATCTGGCCCCTGGTTTGTAATTCCTTCAGAAAAGGGACTATATTTTGTTTGTCCACAAAGCATCATACTCATTTGTTGTGCAGTGTAATTCATTATTATGTAAGATAATTTGGCTTTCAAGACATTGCATTAGCAACATACAGATGAAACAGAAACTGCTTTTGAAAAAGATTAAGAATGTTTGAGAGGTTAAATCACTTTTAAGTATTTAATAAAGACTGATGAATGCTTGATGTATTCAACATACATAATTCTGCATAGACTAATATCCTCTGTTCACTTCTACAGCACATCTAACAGAAGTTTAGATAATGAGTAGAACTAGGCATCCCTAAAGGTACATCATGGAGTGTGACTTGTTCATTTGTTCATTTGATTTTCTTCTTAGTAAAAAGCACTCTTATGAATGTTAATGGAATTATATTAAACATGGGAGATCAGCTGCTCTTGATTCCTAGGCCTGAAAAACAAGAAGTTGCTGGTGTGGCATGATTAGCAAGTGCTCTTGAACGTGCACCTTTACCTAGTAGAAGAACATTACTGGTCAACGTAACATACGTAAGTTTCCTGTACAGAATAAAACAGTGTAAGCTGTTTCTGCATTGAGGCCTTTGTTGGTTTGGAATGTTGCCATTAAAAGAAATGACACAATCTCATGCATAACCAGCAGTGCTATACCTGTGGACTTGACCTTTGAGTTGCTTTTTACTTATTTGCTCTCTTGGCTTACCTCTATGCTTAATTACTAGGCTTTTTCTAAGTGACCTGCCTCCTACCTGAGAGGGCTGGGTAAATGGATATGACCAAGGAAAAATGTAAAATGTTCATCATCCAAAACACTTCTGTAAGACTTTCTTACAAATTCCAAGATAACTAATGATTTGCTGATCACTTGTAAACTTGTTTCTTGTCCAGGTGATTCTGCTAGTGCAGAATATCCAGGGTGCCTGTCTGCTGTAGTGCCCTCTGTTTAATTTCTCTGACTCGGCTATCTGGTTGTTTCAATTTGGCAACATGTCCAAAATGATGAACTGAGTCCTGAGTGGGAAGGTGTAAACTAGGCAAAAGCGTTTGGAAGTAGAGTGTGTTGCAGAACAGCAACTTTCATAAACAAGTTGACACAACATATTAAAGTGCCTGAGACCATCTGTGGTGAGAGCAACTGACTCTCCCTCAGTCCCAACACTGTCCTGGGATTTTCTTTTGGTTGCACTGGGCCTTCCAATGAAGAGCAAGATTGTTTGAGCCAGAGTTGTGTAAAGTGGTACTGTATGAACTACCTGGTGAAGGTCTAGAGACACACCTAGACCTTGTCATGACCTTTGTGTTGCTGTTTTATTTTTAGAGACGTTTATACTCTTTGCAAACTACTACTAATGGTTTACCTCAAATTGGAAATGTGCTTTTATTTGTTTAAGGCAGAAAATAAAATACTCTTACATAATGGTGGAGATTGTTTTTATTTACTGCAACCAAATATTATATATTATATCCCCTAATGTTTCAAATTTTATATTGTCTTTCTCTGATCTGTCACATTATGCAATGCATAGATTGAGTAAAATATGTTCTAAGGGAATGATTGTAAATGCAGTTTGCTACTAAAAGTTTAACAGAATATTAAATAGAGAACATGCTCTATTGCAAAAACAGTGTTAGGCAGAAAAAAAACCCCAAGTAATTGTTAATACTGCGCAAAAGCTGGAGCTTTGGAAGGCTGTAACCTATCCTTACCAGACCTAATCCCTTGACTCTAAAGTTACTCCATAGCATTTTCCAAGGAACTGAACACTGTTTGAAAGATTAATCTGTACATCAGAACATTACGCATCACAAAGAAAAATAGTAACAAAATGATGCTAACACAAGACAAAGCTCATTGTTAATACTTCTTGGGGAGGAGGTATGACACTTTGTTAAGACTGTTACTTTTTCAAGGAAAACAGAATTTCTTGTGAAAGAAGCACGTCACAAAAGCTGCTCACAAAGCAGCAGGCATGGGTTTTATTTCCTTCTAAAGTGCTGAAGAAAGTGGATGGGTTTTAGCTTCTTTTTTAGTCTGTTCAACAGTGACTGGCAGCAATGACTGTGCACAAAGAACCATGCCAGGCAGCTTATCAGGCTGTACATTCACCAGGCAGGTCATGATGACCAATTAAATGCAGAGAATATCACTTATCTCCCTCGTCTGACATGCCTACACCTGTCACAAAGATCTTCTTCAGGACAAATCAAAACAATTGAGTCATATCTTATTTTCAACTATACTGTTAACTGCTTTGTAAAATTCAGATATTCTTTCACCTGGACTTCACCTGCCTGTAATCACCTTTATTAGCTCTTAATTCCTGCTGTTTCAGTTAAACAAAAAAAAGTTCAGTATTGAATGCTTCTGTTGAAAATTGCATAAGGGGTTTTATGAAAGGTGAGGCTTTCTATGCATTGCTTGGAAACCCTGGATTAAGAGAAAAGGGCTTTATATAATAATTGCTGTATTGGATTTCAAGCAGATAGACTGATTTAATAATGGGTTTTGGGTACTTCTGCTTTAAAACCAACCTGTAGGATTTTGACTTCAGCATACAGCACAAGGTACAACTCACAGCTCACATATTTTCAGTAACAAAGCATTGTTCAGTCCAGTTCTCTTCATACCAGCTCTATGAGGAGGCATTTTCACTAGTTCTGTACAGAAAATTAGATTTGATAGCAAGATCTACAGTCTCAGGGCCCAAATTCATACATGTCAGAGTAAAAAGTGTTTCCGTAAAAAGCACCCAGCCTCTTGAAACAGCAGCTGGGCACAATAGCATACATCAGGTTCAAACTGAAAAGTTACGAAATTATGCCAGAAATGTTCTATATTTCCATTGATTAACTATATAAATGCTGCTTTTCATCTAATAAATGTTTTAATTCCAAAAACATTTGGTAACTTTCATATGTGGGATGTGACATTAATATCTATAACAACTATAATCCAATCTACAAAGCCATGCATTTTAAAAGTTTTAAAGCAATCTGTTATATGTATCTTTAAAGATTAGCCTTCAGGATGAGATCATATTAAGCAGTCCAGTGTATGAAAAGGAGGGGCTCCTATTAAATGTGCTGACAGGAAAAAGAAATCCTTCCCTGTGAGCGTGGTGAGGCTGTGGCAGAGGTTGCCAGAAGAAACTGGATGCCCCATCCCTGGAAGTGTTCAAGGCCAGGTTGGACACTGCTGGAGCAGGTGGAAGGTGCCCATACCCTTGGCATGGGGGGTGGAACAAGATGGTTTTTAAGGTCCTGATCCAAACCATTCTATGATTTTGTGAAAAGCAAAATTATTATTTAAACACCTGAAGTCAGGTTCTAAACAATGACAAATGGGAAACACAGAAGTTCACTTTCAATATGAAGATTACAATGATGTCTCACATTTTAAAGTGCATGCATATTTTATTAACTAACAATGTTTTACATGGAATGAGGACTTGGGAGATAAAGCAAATCCTCTATCAATTTCAGTCAATACAGGTGAACGCATGAAGCAATTACAGAAATGGAGTATTTATTTGTTACTGGTTATTGTGACAGTATGTTGATAAAACACTGGAAATTTACACTGAAGGAAATCTTTAGTTCCTTCTCCCCCAGATCAACAAAAAGAAATATTTCCTCACCTGTCACCAAAAGGCCTGTCTCATGGGAAATGGGTACTCATGGACACAAAGCTGTATAGACTGACAGAGGGGGAAGGTTTTTGTCTTTAATCTGCAAATATTGCATAGAGAAAAAACACCCTTGGTATGTCACATCAGTGCAACTGAAAACATTTTACACGGTCACCAAATACAATAGTCCCTCTTCATTATAACTGTATAAAAGACTAAAGGGGAGTTTGAGAGGGGCATAAATGTTCTCCAAAATAGTCAGAAAATACTTTTGTCAAGAAAATAACATTTTTTAGATAAAAGTAATAGATTAACAGTACTTTGAGTAGCAACCATTTGTCATTCATGACCCTGAAAAGGCACTCAACATCTGAACATATGAACAGAAAGACATAAAATCTAGCTTAGAAGCCTAGAGGAATCACCAGTATTGAAGACTAGGGGAAAACCTATTACACAAACAATTACAATTAGTCTTTTTTATTACTATTTATTAGAGTAGAAGTTACAAATATGGGTAAGATCTTATCTAATGACGGCAACATTTTCACATTAACTTCGTCTACTGACATGTAATAAATAAACCATAATAAAACGAAAGCTGTAATAATCAGTGTATTGAACTTCAAACTCTGTACCTTGCTAAGGGACTTCGTCCAAAAGCAATTGTGGCTGTCTTCTAGATACAGCCAGATGAATAAATATGGATATAATTCAAGCTCTTAGACTGCATTTTCCCATTTTTATCTACATGCAGCACAACTCTGACAACATTTCACAATTCCTCTGGAAAGCATTTGTAGGCAAACTCATACTAAACAGCTACCTCACTATATGTGCCTTCACAATCTTGTGAACTGTCAACCTGCATTTACATGGGTCAATAGGCCTGAGATGCACTGCCCTTTCATTATCTAACACTCAGAGCTTTGCTTAGACAGCCATTCAGATTCCTGGAAGCACTACACTGAGCATAAGCTCAGTGAAATCCTCCCAAAAGCCAGCAAGTTTTCAGAAACACCTCTAGAATTGTGAATCGAAAACAAGGATTCTTCTAGTGTGGATTTTACAGAAGATGGGACTTTTTTCACATTTGGAAATCTATTACTTATCAAAATTGAGTATAAATGTCCCCCACACCTTCCAGTCCCATCAATATAACAATCTGATAGAGGAGGCACCTCATATGCTTGCTCTAGGACTGACAATTAGGTTTTTTTCCAGTTCTCAGTAAATACTGTAATTTACATGATTCTCTACATTCAATCAAAGTGTAATGTTCCAAGATCTCAATCTGTGCCCTTTCAAGTTCTTTAGCCAGTAGTCCATGAAAGTTTATTCTGGATCTGGGGAAAGTTTTGGTCCTGTTATCCAAAAGGCAAACACAGATTCTGCTTCTGTGCCTCACTACACCAGTTAGATATTCTAACCAAAGGAATTACATAAGCAAAAAAAAAAGAAAAATCAAAAACCAACCCAGTAGTTCATATACCTTTTAATGATCAAAGGGCTTTCTTCTCCCACTTCTTTATAAAAACTTCAGAGCTATAATACAGAAGCTGTTCAGCATCCTCTTCTGGGCTCTCCTCCACAGAAAGTATCTGAGAAGGGGTTTGTCTGAATTATTTCAAGAGGAAATAGAGGGCATCCTCTGACATCTGTATCCATCTCTCTTCTCAACATTAATTTCCTCTCATCTCCTGTAGATAAGAAAAAGTGACTTGAAATGGGTTTGTCAGGCTGTAAGGATATCCACCAACCAATTGGAGCACAGTAAATTGTAAAAAAGGCTGTAGGAACAGCCAGTAGCAATCCTGTATGACATCAGATGTATTTTTTTAGCAATGTAAGAGTTTACTCACCTGAGACACTACTTCTCACACATCAAATTGTGCCACACATCAAATTGTCTATCAGTGTTTTAGTTGTCTACAGCATGTTGTTAACAGAATAACCACCACCTCCTAATGCCAGGACAGATACTGTGCTGCCCAGTTAAGTAGACAAATATTAGTCTTGAGGTGCAGCTGTGTGTTTCAGAGCTAAACTGAACCCTTAACTGCAGAGAAGTTGCACTGTTTGTTTTTTTTTATACCATGCTTATACCTTTTAAAATCAAAAACCATTCATCACTGTAAGAACTGTGGCAACCTTACCTGCCACAGACCTGTCAAATTCAATCCCCTTAGCTGTGCTGTCCCTCTCTCACCTCTCCTCTGGAGGGTCTCTTGAAGGGGTGAGCCATCGTGAGGGGTAACATCTGGTGCTGCCATAGAGATGTGATGTGTCTTGAATTTCACTTTTTTGTGCAACATTTTCTTACATTTTCTCTGTATCTTTCTGAGCGACTCCAGCTGCATGCAACTGTCCGTCTCTGAAAAGCCACATTCATCAGATAAAAGATTAGAAGACAGCTTTTTTCGCTTTTTCTTCATTTTATGAGCATTTTTCTCCTTTTCCCTGGATTGTCTCTCACTTTTCGTTCCTTCATATCTTAATTTACTACTAGACCTCTTGCATGACTTTTTAAGTTTATGTTCACACTGCCTTGCCAAGCCCTCATGGACAGAATTAGAACAGGAGTTACATTGGCTGATTTCCTTCTCTTGACCTTCCAGAGCTACATTTTTATGGTAAATCAGTAATTTTCTTTCCCCGGCTCTTGCAGACAAGCACCCTTTATTACAACTGCTGTAAATTTCTTCATACCTTCTTTCTGCTCTCTTCACTGAGCCGCCACATGCCTCTCTAAGGTACTCAGAATCACTGATCTCTTCCAACAAATCCTTTAATCTGCAAGCAGATCTACATGTTCCATATGGTACCGTGCCTTCATCTCTACCATCTTCTTCTTTTAATTCCTCATTATGAGTAACAGTTGTGCACTCCAAAGAATGATTCAGTCCAGCACATGGTAAGTTATCAACAGCAAGTGAGTAATTCCTCTGCACCTGCAGCTTTTTTGCAAGCTTGCCCCCATGGACCTTGCTTTCCACCACTTTGTCTGTTGACTCAAGTTCCCCAAGAGTGATCACCAGCCTAAAATTACTATCACTACTACGATTTCTCTTGTGGAGGTTTTGTACAGGACTCAATTCTCTGAAGTGCTGACCATGTTTGTTACTCAAGCTGGTGCTAAACCCACTACCATCATCAGAGACCACTCGCTTCCACCGGGACTTGTTCGCAGTGGTTTTTGGCTCTACGCAAACGCGTGCATAGTGTGGTGTCTGGTAGTAGTTTAATAAATAATGGATGAATTCATCAGTCTCATAAACCTTTTGCTTTCTGCAATCATCTTCCTCAGACAAGGTCTGTGTGTGAACTATATCCAGTGGCGGGCGGTGCCTTCCAGGGAGAGGTTGGATGACCCTGCCGTCCTGGGTAACCGTGATCAGCAAAGGCCCGCAGCCTTCGGTGGAGGAGGTGCCCACATCTCTGCCAGGCAGTCCAGAGCTCGGGGCTGGAGAGGGATCATTTAAAATTGTCCTGACTAAGGGACAAGCAGGTGCATGGAAGTTACTCACATCTCCTTCCTCACAGCATAAACCACTACCTTTTTGGGTTAACGGGCACTTAAACGCCTCAGGTTTCAGCTCTTTGTGCGTACGATAAAGGGAGTTAATCAGCTCCTGCTGTATGTCTTTAAATGCTGTTTCAGAAAATGAATTTAACTTCTTTACATCCAGTGAAGGATCCGCTTTTTGATTTGCCAACTGCGAAACCAAGAAAATAGAAATATATTTAACACATCATGTTCGTAATTAAGAAGGCTATGTCAGATGTAATGGGGCCCTAAAATTCAGGCTGAATGGCAAGGATGGCCTCTGACTTCAACTCATAGTAAATTACAGTCCCTTAGAAATCTTTTACATTAAGGATTGAGAAAAATACACACTTGTTAAAAGCTGCAAGCAAATTTTTCTTTGCAAATAGTGGAGACAAAGTCATATTGGAAATTAAAACCACCGTTTTCATTTTAAACCTTTTTTGCCCAAAGCACTAAATTAAAGCTGCTAACATTAATCTGTGTGCAAAACACTCAAATTTTTATCACTCCTCTGCTGACTTTCTCAAGACATTATCTGAAGTAAACTGAAATAAGCCTGCTAATTGAGTGCTGGCCAAGAAAAGTAAGAGGCTATTAGAAATCCAACGGGTATAATCTTTGCCAATTTAGTTCAGTCACTTGTAGACCTGAGACCAAAACAAGCAGAGAGAGCATCACTTATGTCCCCACTCTGAAGTTCCTTGCTTGCAATACTGGATCAAGTCTAATAGAGCTAAAACAGCCTTTCCAGCCCTATTTTTCACTCAGTAAAGACAAGGTCTTGAAAAGCACAAAGGCAAAGTTTCTGGATGAAAATGCACTATGTTTGCTCTCAGGGCAAGACTGAGAGCAGATTGCCCCATGACACAGACCTCAGACCTTCTCAGTGTTCAGTCAGCCCCAGAGCAATCTTCTGAATAGCATCAAGATATCAAATGTCTGGTGCATTATTCAAGCTCTAATAGATACCCTTAAAAGTTTAAAATACGTTTTAAAAGAGTCTTACTTTCACACGATTTAACAGCACTGTAAGCAGTCTGACAGACTCCACTCTTCTCTGAGCTAGCAGGGATTTCCTTTCTTCCCATTCAGGCATATTCTCTGGCCACTGCTGTTCTTCAGCCGGTACCTTCTGCTGCTTTGGGGGATGTTCCTCATCTCCATCTATCTGCCTCTCTTCTCTCCTCTCGCGCTTAGCTTTCCTTTTTCTCTCTTGAACTTCTTTTCATCACCACGTCTTTTTCTAGGTAATTATCAATATGGGACAATTTAGATGACACTTGTTTTACATTGTGCGTCCTGGGGAATTGGATGTAAGTCTTTGAAGCACTAATAATAAGCAGTCATCAAGAATCACATTTGGCTAACAGGGGATGTTGTTTGCTTAAATAACATCTTTTAAAAAACCGTAAGTTACACACACCCAACTGATCCCCACAGTTAGAAAGTGGTCTCTTCAAACTGTCTGTACTCTTGGGTTTTCTTTAGAAGCACCGCCAAGACAACAGCATCACATGATTGTTTGTCCCCAAGGACACAACTAGAGACTAATCATTTGGATCTAATTCTTAAATTAACAAATCTCCACTACAGATTAGCATGAGGGTTCCATTTAAGAGGTATTACAAGAGTAATTCAGGGGTTATCAGTGAGCAAGGCTTACCCAGAGGCAAGCCTTTTTCTGCTCCACACCCACCCCACCAGTGAGGAGCTGGGGATGAACAAGGAAATGGGAGGGGACACAGCCAGGACAGCTGATCCCAACTGACCCAAAGGATATCCCAGACCATATGGCCTCATGCTCAGCAATAAAGCTAGAGGAGGAGGAGGAAGGGGGGGCATTTGGAAGGATGGTTTTTCTCTTCCCAAGTCACTTATGTGGGGTGAAGCCCTGCTGTCCTGGGGATGCAGAACACCTGCCTGCCCTGGGGAAGCGGGGAATGAATTCCTTGTTTGCTTCCCTTGTGTACGTGGCCTTTGCTTTACCTATGAAACTGTCTTGATCTCAACCCTCAGTTTTCTCACTTTTACCTTTGTGATTCTCCTCCCATTCCACTGGGGAGAGGAGGAGGGAGTGAGCAGCTGTTGTAGGACTTAATTATCAGCTGGGGTTAAACCTCAACAGGCTATGACCACTTTTTGGAAACTTTGGAAGTACTCTACCATATAATCAACATGACACATCACAAAAACCTTCAGAAAATTCAAGGATCAGTGTTCACACCAATGAGTGTTTAAAACCAGTTTTTAAAGAAGTATTTGAATAAGGAAGAATTAGCAATGCAAGCATAGCAGTGCTTTTAGAGACCTAGCATTAGATTCATTATGCTCTGCATGCTAAGTGTCTGTTTTTTCAAGAAGGTGCATAACATGATTGATTACTAATGACAGTTTAGGATGCCACCCAAACACATTATCTAAAGAATTAAAACTTCAATATACTACTATTACTCATATGCAAATTTAAGAACACTGCACTAAAGATATCACCATTGAAATGGATAAAGACAGAAAAGTATTCATTTCATAGCTTTGGACTGTCCAGTCAACTGGAAGGTACTGAGAAATGTACATCACATTAATTTTATTTCAGGGCATAAGGACAATACAAAAAGCCCACATGCAGAACCTTAAGGAAACAATCCTCAGAACAAATTTGAGAGCAACAGCTCTTTGATTTCACTGTAGGCCCACAGAATCACAGAATAATCCAATCTGAAAGGGACCTTGGCATATCTCCAATCCAACCTTTCTCATAATCCAGACCCCTGCATGGGATGCCTTACATGCAGAATTATCAAACTGGTTTTCTTTCCAATATATAAAGTAACAGCTACATAGTATTGTTTCAATTTCTTCAACTCCTGTTTCCTCCAAGCCTGGATTTTTACACAGCCACTCTTCCTGTATTTTACTTGATATGACAAAGTGTAGCAACTCTCAAGAAAATGGGACATTCTCTAAAAATATACTCTCACTTTTCAACCCCTTCTCTTTTTTTTCCCTCTTTTTCAAACGTGCTCCTGTTCTTGCAGCTTTAGTCTTTCCAGGCTTCTCTGTCTTATGGCTCCTTCACTAAAAATGTCTGGCTTTTTTTAAAAGCCACCTGTCACAGAAGCAGCAGAATCAGACTTAGCAGCCCAGTTTGCTGTGTATTTATACAAACACTGACAACCTGCTGAGAAAACGAGAGACCTCAGGTGACACCAAAATACCACTACACTCCTGAGAATGCCTCTCTCCACCCTGACATGCCAGAACTTCTGAAGTTCATTCTGGGTTGTCAATCCAGCTCAAACAACCCTCTCTCAAATGTCTCATCCTGCTGTGACATCAGGGCTCACAGTCTGCCATCACGCCTTTGAGCAAACCCGTTCCTGGTAGGCTCTTCTGGGGACTCAAAGTTCAGCATATTCAGCACAGCATTCCTAGTTGCATGATCATACAGTTCTGCCAAAACTAGAGTTCACTGACTCTTAGAGCAACATATTTTGGATCAAATGCTTGTTTACTTGCTTAAAAAATTAGGGATTCTGTTGATGTGTGCTGCATTTCATCAGTTTCAAATACCCAGATGTGAGCGCATTAAAAGAAAACACTCAAGTAAGTTGCATCAAGGTCTGTCTCTACAAAAAAAAACGAAAAAAAAACCCAAAAACAAAAACTTAAAAAAAAAAAGGCAACAGGAAGCATTATTTCCAGCACAGAGGGATATTTCAGGGTCACAGTTTAGAAATTACCAGCTGGGATTAAAAAATGAAACAGGGTAGTCCCTAGTAAGTGCTTATAGAGGTAAATCAATAGGCTGCTGAAATTAAGCTTACAGGTTGCACAACTTGTTTTATAATGCCACACTAGGCATAACACTTCAAAGGATTCTTCTCTCAACATACTTAAACAAAAAGGTACAGAGAAGAGAACAGATATCCTTTCCAAGCCAATAATCACCAGACAGCTGCTACACCTACTTCATATTTAACAATAACAAACTAAGTGTCTTTCAGAGTCTCATCAGTTCCCGACATCATCTCCCACTTTCAGTGACAACTACACTGAAAATATTGGCAACCTTTAGCTTACCAGAGAAATTTTTCAGGAAATCAAAACAGTATAATGCTGGGTTTTGCTTAAAGGAGATAAGTTCAGATACCTGAACTCCATATATCAGTACACCTACATCTAGTACAAACAGGATAGTCACACAGGGGTTTTTTTGCCCCTCACATGCTTAATTGTACAAAAAGTTTACAGAGAGGCTTCCACTGGTTATCAAGGACTTTTCAGGCCTAAATCCAAGGAAAAAGAAACAGAAGTTGGCAAACCACCATCTGTGCCAGCTTCTTCCACAAAATCTCAGCACCTAGTTACAAGTAAAGCTTAGTGTATTTTAATGCTGTCCATATGCTATATTTTTCTTTATTTTATAGACACCATTTTAACATAAATACAGACTAAATCAAATGGAGAAAAAAAGATACATATACAAAGAGAACTGCAAGAGTGCCACATAAAAGCTTCCACTGAGGGAACATGACAAAAAAGTTTGTAAGATGGTTTTCACAGGTTATAAATGATATTGTTATTACTTGAAAAATGCCCGTTTTCTTTCAACATGGGAATGTACAAGGGAATACAAGCACAGAAACTGATAAAAGAGGGCGACTACACTTTATTGAGAATGACGAAGAAAAAAACCCACATATGTACTGGAGAAAAAGCTGGTGCCATTAATATAAAATAACCATGAATCTCTGGAAGCAGCAGCTACAGCACAGACTGCAGCAATGAATTGCTTCTCTTAGGGAACTGCAGCCAAATGCACTCAGAATTAATTGTATCTTTGTCAGGCAAGGCTGAATCCCTCCGGATTAATCTCTGCACACAGCTGTGTATGTATACAGACACACCTTCACTGTCTCATATAATCAAAATAGATACACAAAGCACTTTCTACAAGACTGAAGCAATGAGTAATCTCTAGAGTCCTTTCCGCCCACTGTGCATTAAAACAAAGAGCTTCCTAAAGCTTTCCACCAAGTTAGTTCCAACCAAACTTCTGCCACCCCATTAAGATTTGTTGCATAGCAGGTTAAAACACCCAGGACTCTGTTGTTACAGCCTGTAGACCACCTGGTGTACACAAAATCTTGTTCTGATTTGCAAGTACATCTTCTTTTAAACCAACTGATATATTATCCTGCCCTTGCAAATCTTCTTTCACTTATATCCTTACACCATCACAGCTGAAACCATCTTCCTACTACTGCAATAAATCACCCAAAACCCCTAAACTCTCTTCATAGAGCTGAGCAAGCTATAGTGGTTTGCCAGTGCACACCATTACCCTTGCTCTTCCCCACTTGTGCTCATAGCCAGGAGCTCTTCAAGCATCATAAATTTATTTCTCTCTATATAACTGTGAAAAAGGCATAGAATTATTTACTGGCTGATGCACTGAATTGCTGCTCAGCAGCATGGCCTTTTGGAATCAACCCTGGCATATTAATAAGCCACTACCTTAACTGCTGCAACTGACAAATTACAAGGAATATGACTTTCAACCCCTTTTCCAAATTATTATTTCCTTTTGGCCACTCTGCCATGGTAAAAACAATTGGAACATATCTGCCCTTGCACTAGGATTTACTACAATAACTGAAGGCTGAACTGTCCTTATCTTACAACACCCTGAATTGTGTCACCTAAGTTCATACTTTAAAACAAACTTACGCTTCTGGGAAAAATTAACAGCCTGGCAATATCTAACCTGAAACACTCACATAGTCCATATGAGCAATATGCAAGTATTGGGAATAATTGTTCCAAAGGCACCCCTCACATTTGCTCACTGTACTGCTAGCTCAAACAGCTCTTACCATCCCCAGTTTCCCAGCTGGTCACTCATGCCAGGCCCTGGGCCATCACAACCATTTCAGAGACCATACCATCAACTAGGTCTGGATAAAAGGTTATCTTAAAGAGAAAAAAAAATTCGTATTTTCCAAGGTTATTTTTCATGCTCTCACGGACAGAGTAGCCTCCAAGCAGCCCCACCAGCAGAGGTGAAGGCAAGCTCAAGGCAGAGGAAATATTTTAATTCTACAGAGTGAGTATACAGGAGCACTATAAGCTAATGCAATGTGGCAACTGTATGTACTGATCCTCTGCAGCAGAGTTTATCATGCAGGGGAAAAAAGCTGGAGTTGTTTATCCTGGAGAAAAAGAGACTCAGGGGGACCTTATGTTTCTCTACAATCACCTGAAAGGAGGCTGGCTCCAGGTCGGGGCTGGTCACCTCTCACAAGTAATGAGAGAGGAAATGGCCTCACATCACATCAGAGGAGGTTTAGGATGGATATTAGGAAAAACTTCTCCAGTGAAATGGTGATCAGGCATTGGAAGAGGCTGGAAACGTGATCCCTGGAAGCCTACAAATGGTTTGTGGCTATGGCATTTGGAGACATCGTTTAGCAGTAAACACAGTAAATGTTACTGGTTAGACTCTGATCTTAGAGGGCTTTTCCAACCCCAGTAATTCTATGACGAGCACTTACCAGAAAGTCACTAGGAGAAGCTTAATGAAGAGCTTTAAACTGATATTTAACAAATGAGTTTTTCCAGCCTGCTCTATGCAAAATTAACTGAAGTGCCGCTGCTCTCACGAATACTGCAATAACGGAGCGCTTTGAAGCGAACACTCCCAGCGCCGCTGTGCTCCCCGCTGCCTGAGGCGAGGATAACACACACAAACACACACACTCACTCACACACACAAACAAACACACACTCACACACCGCCAGCCCCAGCCCGGTGGATGCAGCCCCTGAAGGCCGCGGTGCCCGAGCTCCGGCAGCGCCGGCCGGGGGCAGCCGGGCGGGCAGGGCCCGGCCGCGGCGGCTTCAGCGGGAGCCGCGGCACCGCGACCCCGCCCCGGCTGCCGGCCCCGGCAGGTGCGGACCCGGCTCGGGCTGCCCGAGCGCCGCAGCGGCCGAGCCGAGCCGAGCCGGGCTGGGCCGAGCCGGGCCGGGCCGCCCCCAGCGCCGGGAACCCCCGGGCCCAGACCCGCCGCGCCCTCCGCTCCCTCCGGGCTGCTCCGGCCCGGCCCCGCAGCGCCGGAGCGGAGGGAGGATCGACCCGCCCGTCCCGGCAGGCCCGCGGCCCCAGCGGAGCCGCCCCGGCAGCCGCCACAACTTTCCCCGGCGGAGCGGCACCTCGGCTCGGCTCGGCTCGGCTCGGCTCGGCTCGGCTCGCCTCGCCCCACCGGTCCCGCAGCGCCCTCCGCCGGCCGCGCCCGCCGCCCGGGCCGGCCGCCCTTACCCGCGGCTCCGCGGCACCGCCGGCCCTTCGGCCGCCACCCGGGGCGGAGCGCGGCCGCGCCCTCGGGCCGCCCCCGGGGCGCGGCTCCTCCGCTCCGCCCGCCTCGCCCGCCGCCGCAGCGCGGCCGCACGCCGGGCGGGCGCTCTCGAGGAACGGCTCGCGAAGCGAGTGCCAGGAGGTGCCGGCGTGTGAAAAATGCGTATTTTTATGGCTGGCTTTTCGTAAATATTACAATGAATATTATATGTGTAATGTTAGAAAGTTATGCTGTATTAATTCTCTTAAGTAGTGTGTTAAATATATTTCTAGGTTATAACACAATGTTAAAATAGTAACTATGTATGTGGTTGTTTTTTTTTTTTTTAAGAATAAGATACTCACTTTGAGGTAACAGTCACACAACACCTAAATCTTCCAGAGAAGAGGAATTTATGTTTTCTTATCAGAAGAAGCTAATTTCTTCAGGCCTTGTTCATACTCGAAGACACCATGGGGATTGAAAGAAGCAGCTGACATATACCAGACAGAATTTCTTGTTTTAAATAGAAGCTATGCATAACCATGAAGTACGTATGAATATGCAACAGTGTATGGTTTTTAAGGGTTAATCCTTTGTTCACACAACATGTTTTTGGCAGCTTAGTGCCCAAAAACATCCAGACGTCCATAATTCTTTGCTTTTTATTGTCTTGTAATTGTCCTAACTCTAAATGGTGTACCAACCATTTCCACTCTGCGATGGTCTAATTTCTATGTATGCAATCACAACCCGTGACCAAGGGTTACACATATATTTACTGTGGGAGTGTATTTCTGTCACAATTTTGTGTGCCTAAAAGCATGTCTTTGTTTTCTCACTATACAAATGGATAAGACATAGATACTATGTTTACTAACTAATGTTGTTCTGGTCTGGGTGCCTTCTCCACAGTTGTTTCTTCTTTTGTTAGAAAGGTTTCTTAGGAGTTATTATATGCTGACATTTGTTTGAGGGTTTTTTTATCTTAAATGATAGAATTGTGCTTTGATAATACAAATTTCCAGTATACTCTATGTGATTTTTTTTTCCTTCTGCATAATTTTTCCAAATTAAAACAGGCAAACTGGCATTTGAGATCAGTTTGCAGCAGCACAGTCATTATATACCCCTACTGCTTTTCCAAACCTGCAACTTGAGAAACTTTAATGTTTTACCTCTTGAATAAAATGTTTAATGTAACCATACAAAGCTATTTTTTCAAGGTCCAAGAGTGTGCCCCCTGGATGCAGGAAACCAGATCCTTGCCTGTAATTAAGCAAATTATGTCAATACAATCTATTTTGTATTCTGTATTTCAGGGAGCAAGCCACTGTAAACTGAGGTCTTTTGCCATTGTGGAATATCCTCCCTGGGATCAAGCTGGAGCAGTGTGGAAGTCTTCTCTGGGAAAGGAGTCAAGGAATGCCAGAGCAGCATCACAACCAAATGAGTTTATTTTATAATCTGGTAACCAGGGCACATAGACAAACTTCTCTGGGAGCTTCAGGATTAGGCTGGGGAGGAAGATGGTTGGAAGAAACTCTGAACACAAAGCTTGTTTAAATACATAAAAGGAATACTCTTGGCTCTGTTTCTGCTTGTGGCTTGGTAATGTCATTCCAGGAATTACATCTGAATGTTACGTACTGCTCAAGCAATTTAAAAGCTAAGATAACTTTCCTGATTGAGAATATAGGTATAGATCTACTACCTCTAGGTTGTACCGTCTGTAGGAAAACCCAAACCTCAGAGTTGTATTTAATTTTGAAATAGAAAACTGAAACCTGTTCCAAGGGACAGTAAGAAAACTCACATAGTTATGTTCAATAAATAACAATGATACAACCTTGCTTATTGCAGCTTGCTGTCATTGCAGGTTTGACCCAGGAAACTAAGTCATGCACTGCTGAAATATCCTCTCCTTAGATACTAATGTGACCAGTTATTGAGTGAGAGGCAGCTCACCCACACAACTGCTTTCTAGTGAGGAACAAGTGAACAATGGGTTGGATCTGCCATCACCTGTACAGAAAACTTGTTAAGCTTGCATGTCTTTAAGGTAATATTAGAAAATATGTGGTGGCGTTTTCTTTTTTCAAAGTGTCTAACTTCCCTGTCTAGACTTTATAATTATTTTTATGGTGATGGGTTTAATCTACAAGAAAGTTACTTCAGAAATACTTTGTATTGTACTTTGTGGGTGATTTTGCTTAGAGGGAAAGAAGGAGAGGAAGGAAGGAAGGACAGAAACTACCTTAAAGGTCATCTAGCTCCAACCCTCCTGCCATGGGCACAGACACTTCCCACTAGATCTGGTGGATCCAAAGCTCTATCCAACCTGACCTTGAACATATCCAATTTTTTAATGTATAATTTGTTTTATTTTGGCAGGTCCCTTTACAAAGGAGAAAAAATAACAACAGAGACTCACACCAACCACATTCTTCTCCAAGGACTGCTTGTGGGAGGCTGAGATTATCTGGTGATTCATTTTATCAGCCAGAAAAAGTATGGGAAAAACTGCCCCAAAATGAGTAATAGAAATGGGAAGACTGAATGGAAAATTGCAGTGCTCAGTAAGAATCTTAAGTTGAGGTTGGTCTTGTGCAGATGAGCAACAAAAGAAAAACCCTGGAAGAAATATCACCCTTTTCTTTGAAGTCTTGAAGTAAGGTTTGAAATCTTCTGTTTCCAAGCACTAATCATGCATAGCAAGGTTTACCCATTTATTGTTGTTTTTCTTCTCCTCCTTGATGGTTAAATGCTTTCTTCTCACCAAGAAAATACAACACCATAAATAGCTGAGTTCCTGGAGAGAGAAGCAATTCTAGAGAGATGTCTTTTAGCTCTTTTATTGATCTAGGAATAGTGCATTGGATCAGCAGCAGAGCATTCTTGCCAGAGGCAGACTAAGTCACCCGGCACTGTTCTGTTGAATGCACTGTAAGAAGATACTGAACATAGCTTTCAGTTTGAGTGGAATTTTTCGGGTGGTTATTTTTGTTGGTTTGCAGTTTTTTCGAGGGGATGGTTTTTGTTTTGTTTTGTTTGTTTGGGGTTTTTTGTTACACGAAACAGAACATCCTGTTTTGGTGCAAATCTCTGCTACTACCTCCGTACTGGCTGTTATCTCCTCACTCCACAGATTCTGGTCTCAACTAGTATCTCCTTTCCACTTTCGTCTCTCCCCTCCCTGTGCCTTTTTTTCTTTTCTGTGGCAGCACGTCAAGAAAACCTGAACTAATGGACCTCGTAAATCTTATTAATGATGATCACTCAGTTACTCAGCTCCAGCAGCAACACAGAGTGTCGTTATAGGACACGAGAAAGCACAACGCGAGCTACCTGCCACTTTGCAAGGTAAAAGAGAGAGCTTATTTTTTGACTCCAACTTTTATACTTTTCCAAAGGTGACAGTGGATTGGAGAGTGAATGGGCCACCTCTCCAAAGACATTGGACAACCACTAGTACATCAAGTCTCTCCACCCCCATGAAGGAATGCAAAACAACACGTTATTTACAGAAACTATGTGGGAAAGTTTCCCAATAGAATGTAAACTCAGAAGGCTTTAAAAAACTCAAAAATCAGGGCGACATCAGAGTGCTTCGGGAGCAGAACGCGGTGTTTTTGTGCCGTTGCTGTATTCGGTCCTGTGGAAATACATTTAATTGTTAAGAGAAAGGTGTGTATTCACTGTCCGTGGAAATACGTTTAATTGTAAGGAGAAAGGAGTGTGTCCTGGGTGCAGCTGGGTCACTGTTGCTTTTTTCTAGCTGCATAAATGCAATAATGTAGTAATATGTACTAATCCACGAATTCGGGTGCAAACGGGGCTAGGAGCGCCGCTCCGCTCCCGCTGCTCCACTCCGGGTTTTCCTTCCGCCTCCACAGCGCGAGCGCGGGGCGCGCGGAGCCCCGCGCCACAGCGCCCCCCGGCGGCGGAGGCGGGCGGCGCCGCCCCCGCTGTGGCCGCGCCGGGCCGGGCCGGGCCGGGCCGGGCCGCGCCGCTGGGTGCGCTCCGCTCCGGCGGAACGGCGGGGCCATGGCCACCCTGCGCCGGGACGGCCGGGTCACCGCCCTGCAGCGCCTGGGCTGCGCCGGGCTGGCGGGCGCGCTGAGCCTCAGCCTGACGGCGCCGCTGGAGCTGCTGACGGTGCTGGCGCAGGTGGGCACCTGGCACTGCCGGCGGGGGCTGCGCGGCGCCGGGCGCAGCCTGTGCCGCACCGAGGGCGTGCGGGCCCTCTGGAAGGGGAACCTCACGGCCTGCCTGCGCCTGTGCCCCTACAGCGCCCTGCAGCTCGCCGCCTCACGCCGGTAAGCGACCGCCCGCGCGGGGCTCCGCGGCTCGGGGGCTCCGCCGCCTTCCTCACAGCGGGGCAGCGGAGGGAGAGCCGGGCTCGGTCTATGGCTCTGTCCGTCCGGGCTCGGTCTGATGGTTCTGTCCGTGCTAGGCTCGGTCTGATGGCTCTGTCCGTCCGGGCTCAGTCTGATGGCTCTGTCCGTCCGGGCTCGGTCTATGGCTCTGTCTATCCGGGCTCGGTCTGATGGCCCTGTCCGTGCCGGGCTCGGTCTGATGGCTCTGTCAGTCAGTGGCTGTGCGCCCCTTCTCCTCAGGGACGCGGACTCTTGTAATTTCATTTACCTAATTTGTTTAGCGCGTAGCGATTTTTAGGGCCTGGTGATATGCCAGCAATTGCTTATAAAATCATAGGTATTCTTCACATGATGAAAGGTGGATAATCTGTTAAAATTTTTTTCCTCGGGTTCATTTAGAAATGAAGTTCCAGTGCAACCTGCAGGTGTGGCTGTCACATCTGTTCTTTGCAACCAGTTTCTTTAATTAATTTGTATACTCTCAAGTATGTCTGTTGTTTGTATCACAGAAAATAACAAAATCACAAGTCAGATATTTTTACCCCATCATGCAGGAGCTGTTAAGCAAATTTGATAGGTTTTGATGTTGGTATGTGACATTGTTTGTTTAAAGACCATGTTTTTGATAATACACAGATTTTAAACTAAGGTAAGTGCTGGAAGGACTGCAGTAGGATGAACATGGAGCAGTGCTGATGGATCTCAGCTGGCTGTGCTGTTTCCTAGGATTCCCTTCTGCTGCCAGTTATCTCTCAGCCTGTGCAGGGAGTGCCTGACTGTTTGCACACATTAGAATGTTTTGCCACTCTGGGGGCTGGGCTTCTTTTTTTTTTTTTTTTTTTTTTTTTATTGCAGTCAGCTGTTCATGCACATGACATTTCCACTCAGCTGGCAGCTGAGTTGTTCTGTTCTGGGCAGCAGCACAGCCCTGCTGGTGCTGCCAACCTGCTGGGTTTGTCACTCATCTGTCCCAGCAAGTCATCTGCCCATGACTGCCTGCGCCCTTCAGGAGACCAGAAATTAAGTGACCCTAAAACCGGACAGCTTTTTTGTGCCATAATTGATGCAGTGGTCAAACAAAGAGCAACGTAATACGAGTGGGAATGTACAAACAGTAATTTAAATGCAATTTAAAGTTCACAGAAAAGGCAGTGTGTTGTACCAACATACAGCAGTTGATTTTGAGCAAAATAACTTCATTGTTTGTTCAGCTTGAAACAGTGTATGCCTTTTGCAAGGCTAGAGTTTGTGCCTAGTTTGTACAGGATGTTCTGAATTATGAGTGGAAGTAGGCTACCAGGAAATTAAATACAAGGTGCCTATGCTTAGTCCTTGATATACTATTTGGGGGTTTTGGAAAGTCTTTTTTACTGGGAGAATAGTGTACATAAAGGCAAGAAACACAAAAAGAGAAATGTTATAGGGCAGCTTAGGTAAACAGGCCCAGGAGGAGCAGGACTGAGCACAGTTTGCAGACTCTTGTCTTTCCATGGCAGTTTGAAATGTTATCCCATCGTGCCCAGAGACACCCTTCCACCTTCCCCACGCATTTGTCCACACGCAGGAAAATCAGGCTGTGTGGGTTTAGGGACTGCATAATACACACAGGAAAAAAGGTTTATGCCCTTTTGCTTCTGCTTGGCTGGGCTTTCTCCCTGGGCACTCCCAGGGCTTGAGACAAGTAGATGCTGGGATTTGTCATGCAGTAGGAAATGCACATTCAAGTGAAAAAACATCGACTGAGCAAGCAGTGACTTGTAAATACTTGCGAATTATTCTGTTCTGCACATGGTTACACCACCTAGGTGTAACAGATGTGCTGTTTAGATATTTTAGTTAATGCTGCCAAAATAGAATAATACATTTCTTTACATCCAGTTAAAACTCTGAAGTGTTTTTACTTGCTTCTTGCTGCCTCCAGGACATTTCTCCCTGCTGTAGGAGTTTCCTGTCATAGAAAAGTCCTTCAGTGCACCACAAATGTATGATTTGTGTGTAGCTTTTAAAACTGTGCTTCAATTTCAAATTTTCAAATTGAGACTTAAACTCCTGAGCATAATAGTGGCTGGACATAAGTATTCTCTGGAGGCGTGTCCCTGTGAACCTTCCCGTCCCAAGATAAGTAACAGAAAGATTCAGGTGCTCTCAGAAGGCCTGGGATGTCATTATTTACATATTTCCTCTTACGTGATAATCTTCACTGGCAGGTTGGACCAGTGTCTTTAACTGATGATCGGATAAGTTCTTGCAGATGTGTTTTGAATCATGGTAATTTTCATCCTGTATGTGGAAATACAAAAGATTTTCATCCTGTAAAAGATTTTCATCTTTGTGTGGTGTTATGTATAACAAGATCTTGGATGAATCACATGCTAAAATTTCAATTCCTGCTGCTGAAGTGGCTTGTGGACAGAACATTTGCATCAGGAATCATCTGCCTTAATTTTTAATGTGTTTTCTTCATAGTGTCATTAATAGTACTTCCTTTATGTGTTTGCTTTAGACTTGTTACCCTTTTCATGGATGAGCTGGGCCATATCTCGCACTGGAGAGCCATCATGGCAGGAAGCCTGGCTGGCATGGTTGCCACCATCGTGACATACCCCACTGACGTGATTAAAACACGGCTCATCGTGCAGAACCGGCTGGAACCATCTTACCAGGGAATTTTTCATGCTTTTTACAAGATCTATCATCAAGAGGGTCTCCGTGCGCTCTACCGAGGTGTTTCACCAGCAATATTAGGTAAAGCAATAGTGGGGTGAAATCACCTCACTGCCTGGCTTTTGTTGCAGCTGTGTAGTGTGTTCACTTACTCACTTGATTTCAAAAGCAAATAGGAATGTTTTCTTGTAGAAGATGTAGAAATTTTCAAGGCACTGCAATACTGATAACCTTTGCTGCAGCTATTTTACTTCAAATTAGGACCATATGTGTAGCATTTTATGTATGGTTAAGTGTTCAGAAAAATACTCTTTTCCTTCTTTTATAGAAGATCTAATTGTGCTTGGATGCACAATTTTCACCATTAAACTCTTAAAACACATTTATACACACACACACAGGGTGTTTGTAATTCCTGTTCAGTGTGAAAGTGTCTCCTGAGCTGTTCAGTGAAACCAGTGTGAGCTATAGTATATAGTAGTGTGAAAAATGAAGATTCATTATATTCTCTTTAAATTATTAATTAACTGTTTACTCTGCATGGCCTTTAAAAATGCCATTTAACTGAGTCCACTGTTTCACAATATGACATTATATAAAATGTGTAACAATAATAATAAATGTATAATCCCACTATAAAACTGATGAGAGCATGAAACAAGCAAAAGAGGCCAGAAGTATCCCT